CCACCAAAAAAAAAACGCTACTCATTTGAGGCCTAGCACCAAGAGATCGGATCCCAAGCACTGAGAGTTTCGGACATTCAGGCGGCCCTATACAAAGGAATCCCATGGAAAGCTCCCAAAAGTTAAGTTCCCATTTTGGTGCCCCTAAACATTAGGTGCCGCAATATAGCTTGTAACCAAAAAGGGCCCATAATTTTAACAATCCCCATGTTTGGTTTTATTTTTTGAGAGCTCTGATTTGGGTCCTGCCCCCACCTGGAAAAGTTGTGTAACATTTATATTATAGTTATGTTGGGAGGGTGCAAGGTCGGTCCCCCAAAGGGGCTCCCAAATGAGTTTTTTAAGAGCTCGGCAAGGGAAATGATGGGATGAGTAGGTAGGCGAAATAACTCAGATGGTTGACCGCGCAATAACTCAGATGGTTGACCGCGCTGACGCAGATGTGTATAGCCCTTAATATTACCCCGATTAAAGGCTGTTACGGGGTGGGGCCGGGACCCGAGCTCTGATTTGAACCTTGCGCTTGGAATCCTTGGCCTGCTTCACGGCGGTCTCAGGAAGCAATGTATAGGTGAGTATTATAGGAATTACTAGGGGGGATACGAGGACTTTGGACCCCTACACCCTAAACCCTATATAATCCCCTATATACCCCCCCCCCTCTAAAGGAGTTTAGACTATACCTCAGGTGGTACCCCAAACCGCTCGTGACGGTGTGTCAGGAGTATGTAAGGGACCCCAAGATCATTTGCAAGTCTCGTTCATGGTCACGATGGGTGGCATTCTCAGAAATAGTTGAAACCTTTTGGGTCGTTACAAGGTCTCTTTCGGTGGTTCGATCAGCCGTGCGAGCGAACCCAGACCCATCCTGTGTAGGCAGTGCGGGATGAATCTTAGCTGGTGGCATTGGGGTGTTAAAACGGTCAGCATTCGAGGCTCCCTCGGCTTCCAGAAAGTCATCCACAAGCAGGAGGACTTCTTCCAGCGCCGCTGGGATGCACACGAGCTATACGAAAAGCCTCAAGGATAAAGGACCATATTAGGCCATCGATGAGAAGTCAAGACATAGTTGCTATGGTAGCTTACTTGTGCTTGAATCTCCATAGAGGTTCACGGCCTTCAAGAGCACGCACGCAAGTTGCTACCGCTGCGCCGAAGGTCCGGTCTGCTTCATGTAGTGGCAAACATGGCGTACCATTGAGGACACCGAACTTTTTTGCGCTACAAGGGACCACATGTGCAAGAGGTACAATATCTTGATGTGAGCTTATCTGGGATAATGTTACCCCTTGCCAGGCTGGAATACCAGGCCATCATAAGCTTGGGGATGTAGCATACGGCGTCTGCGTTCAGACCACTCCGCCTCTGAGCTCCATATGCTTGAAGTTCCCGAAGACATCATGGGATCCTAGACTGTGGAATCAGTTTAGGGTTTAGGGTTTAGGGTTAAGGGTTAAGGGTTTAGTTTTAAGGGTTTTGGTATGGAGAACAAGTTTGGGGGGAGATCACATGATGGCCCTGTGACCATCATCTCCTGAAGCTTAGCAAGAGACTAAGCTGAACACATCCTGCATCCTTAACTTACTGGCGGTTAGTAGGGAATACGGGAATGTGCTGTATAGGGGTTATACAGGGCTTGTATTCCCTTATTCCCTACTAGCAACCAGTAAGTCAATCAAGCACAACATGTGTGTGAACGATACTTCCCGCTTTGTCTAAACTGCTGCGACTGACATCAGTCTGCTCAGGTGTGAAGGACAAAAGCTTCTTGCAGCGTGCCTTAGCTTAATTATGTTTACTGGGGATTTGCAGGGAAGGGAATACATCATATGGGGATTATGTAGGGATAATATTCCTTTATTCCTTGATTACTTGAGCTACTGTCAATATGACGCCTTACCAAAATATCCATTAAGGGTGGACATAGCGGTCCCTCTCGTAGTTCAGTATAGTCCTAATACATTCCACAGGAAGGAGCTCATGTCCATTACTGTTCTGGGGAAATCTTGACTGTAGCTTTCTTGCTGTCTGAGCCCCTAGCAAGTCAGTGCGGTTAGCGCGCGGCCATTCATCGGCAATATGGGAGCTTATGGCAAAAAGCAAGGCTGTCCTTTTGGAAGGACGCCAGGGTTCCCCCTAAAACCCGTGTAGATCCTTGCCAAAAAAATGAAGCGCTCTCTGAGTAATTTTCTTGTGTGTGTGGGATGTGTCCATCAAAGGGCGGCAGCACGGTTTGGTGTGCGTGTCTGAAGGCGAAGCCTCTTGGTTGGAGATGCAACCTCGTAAGGGTTCTGAAGGCATCCAAGCTCAATGTTGAGCTTGTCAGGCGCCCATGCCCTATCATGCCATTATCTAGCGATGCCATGGAAAGCAAAGATGTTTTTTAAGGAACAACGGTCCTCAGACGTTCGCTTCTGGCATCCGTGTTTGTTTGGGGTTTGTCTGACGCGTCGATTGCAAGCTCACAGACAAAGCAACTACCATTGCTCCGCACATGTTGAACTTACGGAAGAAAACAACACCGTGCTGAACCTGTTTTGCACGCAGTGCACAGCGAATCCTTGCAACAGTTGCAGCCACTACCCCTTCTTGTGGTCCCTATCAGGTTGCTTTCCAACTCTTCTCCCTCGTGAGCCTGTGACGACCGGTGGTTTGCACAAACGGGAGGACTCCAATAAAACCCCAAGATATTACAATCTATTGTGGATTCCCAGCATGATGCCCCTAATTTTGAGAAATCCCCAAGTTCCTGTTGCAGAAAACCCTAAGCCCTAAACCGTAAACCCTAAACCGTAAACCGAGGGGTTGATCTGATATGGGACAACCCGCCTTACACCGCGCCGGAGATGAAGGTGCCCGGTTTTGGATTTGCAGTTTAACTCAGAGGGTCAAGGGGACTTGCTGTAGTAAGTAGCTCAATAACCCCTATAATCCATGCAGTAGGCCTGGCCATCCCAAATTATCAACCTACCTACTCAGTCTTCCAGGGCTTAGGGCTTGGGGTTTCAGGCTTCAGGCACTAATATCTTAGAAAATAGTTTGCGGGCGGGTTCAGGGTTCAAGGTTTAAACGGTTTAGGGTTTAGGGTGTAAACGCCGGAAGAAAGGAAGATTCTCCTCTGGGTACCTCTAGGTACCTCTTATGTATGGGAGGCAGGGGTGTTGAGTAAGCCCTTTCGCCCTTTTTGGCGTCTTAAGCTCTTTATAAAACAAGCGATGCTCAAGAAGGTGTCCCTTTTCAGTCCTACGTTACTAGGGGTCCTAGGAAGTATAAGACAACCCCATTCCAGTCATGTATGCCTTTGCTTGTTAGCTTTCCTATGCACGTTGAGGTTTTAGGGCTTAGGGCTTTGCAGGTTTGATAGCCTCAAACCCTACCATGTGCATGGATTCAAATGGGACATATCCTCATCATGAATGTTGTAGGGATGTTCGAGGTTCAGGCTGGGTGTTCCTCAAAAGGTGTAATCTCAAGAGTTATTTGGAGTCTTGATTTGGCTGGCATGGCTGGCAATTGGTTGGTCTTAGAGTATTGCCCAGCATCTCATGGTGCTGCAGTTGATGGAAGCTATCCTGCATGAAACTCCGGCCTTGATACCAGGGGTCATTCATGTAGCTTTGTGCCGAAACCCTTATCAAACCCAAGTAAAGCCTAAACTACACAGTCATCCACAGCCCTAGACCCTAGACCACTTCATAGAACCTCATGTAGTCCTCGTGTCCATGCTTCTATTTCAAGCAAGCCCCCAGTGGACAACACCCAAAACCCAAAACCCTAAGACCCGGCACCTGTTTCCTTTGTTTCGAGAAACTGTCCGTATGGCAGTTTCTCAATATAATCCATCTTTGTACAATTCTAGTGGGGACCCCATGATTTCAGGTCCCTAAGGTCCCTTGAGGCCGCCGTAAACCCCAAGCCTTGAACCCTAAGCCCTAAATCTTCTACCTTCATTAAAAAGTCACAGTAACTATATGGATGATGGTTATACTCTTTCTTATATTGATGATAACCTTCGTTCTATTAATACTAGCAGTTGTATCAACGACATTGATAAGATTAAAAGGTTCCCCAGATTATCCCAGGAGAAGGTTTTGCGAGCCTTGGCAGACTGCGGCAAGCCCTTCGCCATGCTGCTGCCCATCTCCATCCTCCACGTAGGCAGCTCTTGTTAGTCTACTTCGTCTACTTGAAGGTACGATTGTAGTTAAGAGTATGGTTAACATGAACAACAGTTTGATTAGGATCAGTATTATTAGTATTAATACGAGAAACATGATTATTTGTTGTTTTTCGTGTTGTTATTATTATTATTATTATCGTTCGGCAGCTCTTCCTGGGTCTTGCGATTTGCAGCCCAAGTTTAGGGCTGTTGTTTTGGGCGTAGGTTTTGCCCGGCTTTTGGGTTTGGAGATTTAAGTTCCAGATTTCATGGACTTTGGGTTAAGCGTCAAGGAGTGGAAGCTTAAGGTTCATTTGGCGTCTGGGCTTCAGGGTTTTGACGCATGCAGGTTTGGTTCAATGCTTGGGATGGGTACATATTTCTGCTATCGCATTAAAGCACGTTTCCGTATTCTTGGGATACTCCTCCTTTGAATCTTAAACGTTCTTAAAAAGTCTGCGTTCATAGCAGGAAATGTCCAGGGTAGAGATACATCATCGTTCGCATGTCTCATGGAAGATAGTAGTATTATTGCCAGTACTAATAAAAAGGACAAGAGTTCGGTAAAACCCTGACAAGCACTTGCAGTCATGACGTGCCAACACACCGAAGAGCGAAAGCTCCGAGGGTTGGCAGCTCTTCAAAGATGCGGTGCAGCGTTTTCCAAACCCAAATCCCGAATTTGACAAGGAAAGGGGGGGGGGAGGCTGGGGACTGGGGGGGTAGGGGGGTGTGCAAAAAAAATGATGAAAAAAAGAACCACCCCCCAGCCTCCAGCCTCCTGAGGGCCTTCTAGATTCTAAATGCCTCCTCCACCTCCACAAAGCTTTTATGATTCTCCTAAACGTTTCCTTTGCCAAGCTCGAAAGAGACCTCTACCTCCTCATGCTCCCTTAGGACCCTAATGGATCTTATACTATACTTGGTAAAGTCAAGCAGATTCAACTAAGAAAGCAGAGTTTGAAGCTCCAAAGAGAAAATATCACAACATCATATTATTGACCATGCATGAAAAACTGGGGCCACCACAGCGTCCCTTTCTGCCAAAATACTCTAATCCTGATTATGGGGACCCCCATAAAGGTACCCATAATTTTGGGAACCCTAAAAAGAACCCCTATATCCGCCTTGAAGGCGCCCATCATTCCTTGAGCACTCAGCCTCGCATTTTCAAATAGGGGAGCTGAATATAAACCCTAACGCACTATGAAGTTTACAATGGAATGGGTTCAGGGTCTAGGAAGCCCGGAAAGGACCCCTCATTTTGTGCAGGGCGCAGGTATTGCAAGAGAAAAGCCTTTATCCAAATGCTGGACAAAGTTTCGTGTCTCCTCATATGGCCCCAGCGTGTTTTCCAAGGTTCCTACTAAAGTCTATTTAGTATATTGGGATTATATTGGGATAATGGAAAAGAAAAAGGAAGCTACTATAGTATATTGGGGTTATAGGGGGATAATGGAGAAGAAAATTTGAGCCGCCCAGAGCCTGATTTGAAGGCTTTGTGCGAGAGATCATCGACATGAACCAAGTGCAGGCGAGCTGTGGAAGGGGCTTAACTGGGTTGCTGTTCAAGAACTTGAATCAGGCTACTTAAGGAAACCTTATCATTTACTAGATACCCCCAATCATTGTAACTTAAAGAAAGGTCCTTGAAAGAAGTCCAGAATAATGCGAATGTCTCCCAAGACGCTCTCTCTTGGGTTCGTGGTTCCTCGCCGTTATTGTCAGACAGTGTCTGCCAAGAATGCACAAGTCCTCTATTCACTGAAACTATAGACTAAACTCCTGAAAAGGGGGCTATATGGGGTACTAGGAGTTTAGGCTATAGCTCATACGCACCTGACGTCTGCAAATACTGTGCTCTTGCCAGCCTATATATATATATACCAAATGTATCTGAGTCGAATCCACGGGAAGTTTATCGTAACATTGGGGGCATTGCGCAGCTGCTGTACTGAGTCTACCAAAGGTTCCCAATCACCTTGCGCCGTCCTTGATTTCAACCTCCCTCCAGGTGTGTCCACATGTAAGTCCGTCACCTGCGATTCCATCTTTGGGGTGCTTTCAAGCCTATCTTCTACTTTACACTCTTCATCCCTATGTGATCCCTAGCCAGACGAAAATTTTGTGATCCCCCTTATATAATCGCAGTTGCCATTTCATTTTCCATTTGATTTTCAGTTATTGGGGTATATGTCCCTAAACCCTAAACCCCCCAAGCCTAAACCCTTCAACTTATACTGACCCGGAATGCCAGCAGATAGTAACTTGGTAGCCAAACCTTTGAATTTCCAAGTTGGACGTCAGTAGAATGAAGCATCGCAATCTGAATTTTCTAGACTGGGGCCAAAAATACAATTCAGGGGCCATTTGTGCTTTGTTGTACGAAGGTGATCATCCCGCGTCGTGTCCACGTGCGGAAGAGTGGTCAGGATGCGGATCTATGGTGCGGGCAAAATGTTTAGGGTTTGTTATATTGGGATAAAGACAATCAAATGGAAAGTATTATCATTGGCCATATATGGTTTAGGGCTTAGTGTCTGGGTTGGTGTGGGCAAAATGTTTAGGGCTAAGGTTTTAGGATAAACTGAGTTATTTCAGCTTTCGGGTATAGTCTTGCTAAGCAGCACTTACGAAATCCTGCACTTGCGCTTGCTCAAGAACCCTCGGACACAGAGTGCCCGAGAATCTGCAGATTTGATTTGTCCTTATGTTGAGACTTGTGCAAGATGTGTAGCATACCTGCGGTCCTTCCCCCTTACAGTAACTATCCTTAAACGGGTCTTATTAAGGCAGATTATATCTCCTATCACATCTTGCGGTCATGGTGAATGTAAGAAGGAACGACCTAAGACTTACCGCAGACCTCCGGCAGGATGTGCTGCCCTTCAAGTATCTCTGTTGGCTTCTTGGCTGAATGCAGTTTTCAGGTTTAAACTCCGGCTGACAACCTGTTCGCACATAGACCACCACCTAGATAATTACCGTGTACATTCCCACTCACAATTGAATCTCCCCGTTTAATTCACGTAGGTGATAGCGGAAGGTTAGTTATTAGGAGGGCACATCTTGCAAGGTTTAGTATTGTTGACCTAGAATTCCGGCCCTCTCTTCGAAACATTGCAACTTACATGCAACCTGGACTTGCATCGATGCATAGCCAGTCTTTGCGCCATCCTGAGTTTTTGAATCGTGTAGGCAAGCAGGCATAGGGAGGGGATCAAGGAACCCACGCCTGTTCGTGGGCCAACATGATTTTTCACAGGGCTCCCTGCTCAGCTGCACCTAGATGGCAGCATCATTTTGCATTGTTGGCTGGAAACACAGGTAGTACTTGGCAACCTGAATAGCAGCCGAGCGGCACGTTCCCAAGCACCATTGGCCATTGGCTGAAAATTTCAAGCCGCGTTCTCCAAACCCTTGCATCGCCTGCATGCATGTATTCTGCAATGTACAAACTGTCCACCCCATCGCTTCGGGTCGAAGATGGCAACAAGCATCAGGTCCTGAATTGAGAGGCAAGATTCAGAATCATGAGATTCCCAAGCTGGGTATTGCAGAAGCTTGCACAATTCCCAATACTATGGTCCTAGATTCGTTGTATAACTATTATATACGCTACCTCAGATAGACCTCAACATCACACAGGTGATCATTTCGATCCCTACAGTACCAATGCCCAAGGTTTTGCGTGGGGACAAAGCTTCCCCGGGATCTGATATTCGTCAACGACGACGCCCGGCACCAGAAATGCTGATGTACGCTGGGGAGAGCTATTTAGGGATAATGTAGTAGCCTAGATTGCTATCAATATTACGGTGCTAGATTTTTTGTGTAACTGTGATATAGAATGATTGTCGTATGGTGTCTTCAGATGCCCGTGAAACTTTCATCCCCAGCGCAGTGTTTGGCCGAGGACCCTGCAACCACAGCCGCAACCCCGGTGACAACCCCGAGAAGCGGCGGGAGAGTGCGTCAAAAGCTGCAGAGGGATGGAGTGAGGTCTGTAGCGTCGGTCCGTTCCCTCAAGAACAGGGCTGTGGGGCATATCATGCCATATTTCCATGAGAGTGACATTGGCGAAAACAGTGCTTCTACACCAGGAAGGGCAGGGGGGATACTTTGTCAGGTCGGAGTTTTCTACGTTGGTGGCAGCGAACATGGGTTATTCCGCTCCACATCAGCGGGCGCTTTTCCATGCTTCATCTTGTTATCAGATTGCTGCCCTTGCGAAAGGAAGCTGACCGATATCAAAATGGGAGCCCGGACATAGACCCCAAATAGCATTATCCTTTCTATACATCCCCAGAAAGGGAACCTGAATTGATGGGAACCCCCACAGGCACATGTTTAGTTTTCAGCAATAACAACCTTCATTTTCCCTGGGAAGAAATGAAAACACATAGAATGCTGAAGCTCTCCTGCATGTCAACAACAGGTGCGATCTTGACTCTGCAAGCTCATCCAAAAGTGCCCTAGGAACCCGAGAGCCCAATACAGCTTAATTCACGAAGATACCTTAGATTATATCAAGACCCTTCACATGGTGTAAGGTATGTTCCTTAATCAAGCTACATTGGGCTCCCTGGGAATGCATCTTTGCTGGAGTCTCGGTTGCGGTCCTGCAGTCTGCAGGCATTCCTTCAGCTCCCAAGATGCGTCAGTCGAAAATGTGATTCTGTTTACCCTCATCCCTGCTGCCTGTAGATCGCGCGCAGAGGGGAGAGAGAGTATTAGGGTTTAGGGTATGGGGTTTAGGTTCTTCGCACCCTTGCTTTATGATGCGAGGGTTTGGCAGCAGCACGTAAGCAATGCGACACCCCCTGTGCTAATTATCGTAGAGCTTAGTGCCCGCGGCATGAGCAGCACAGGAGAAACATCGGAAATGTATGAGACAGAGAGTTGCAGCCACAGAAGGGGTTACAGAAGTTATTCATCCTTCAGTTTTGGGATTCTGCTTCGGCCTCGCAATGCGGCGGACGCGGGGCTTGCCGACAAGGCCTTTACCAGACGTCTCTTTGTGAAGCCCCTCTGTTCATCAGTGAAATGGGAGTTCAGTTTCCAATGAAGTGGTCCTCAGATGAATGCTTGTAGTAAGGTGCTTCATGGAGGAGTTTGCTGGGAGTCGTGCACTCGTTGGACTTCAGAGGTCGCCTCAAGTAGTTGGCATGTTTCTTGGGGCAGCCGTTGAGTGGCTTCGAGTGATAGCCAGAGCAAGTTCTGCGAACAGTTGTGTTGAGCTGCATTGTAGTTTCGGGGAGCAAGTGAACTTGACTTCCCGCTAGTGACTGGTAGGAGGGCCAAGCTTTCTTGCAAGCATGTTTGGATATGTGCGGTGTTTGTGTTACAGCTTTCTCAGATCTGGTCACCGGTCGTAGAGAGAGTGATTCAGCTGCGCCCTTGTGTTTTCCCATGTTTGTGGAAGCTATCGGGTGGGGGGCATGTGCTGGCTACATAGCAGCTGCTGTGAAGTTCACGCTTGATGCGGCTGCGCGCGTGTATTACGAAGCTTACGGTTCTGACAGCTCCGCTGGCCAGACCCAAACCACCGCATCCGATTTTTCCTTGCAGCCGTGGTGGAGCCGGCAGCCGGCGATGATAGAGGAGGCCAGGCTGCGGGGTGTTCCTGTGAGTGATGTTTTGCACTACTTGATGATTCCCTTAAAGCGGAAGGAAGCGGCACGCAAGATACAATCTTTCGTGAGGTCACGAAGAGCGGCTCTTGACAGAAAGGCGCTCAACATGGCATGCGACTACGAATCTGAGTGCGACGATGACTCAGACATTGGTTCTGACAGTGATGACGAGGAGATCTGTCCCACGGGATCGCGATCAACTGAACGCGTGGTTGCAACCCGCATTCGCGATCCCACATCAATCTTGGGCCGAGAAGCGATCCGAGTCATGCTCTTCCATTTGAATGGCGGCGAAGAGCCGGAGGAAGGCACCGTCCTCAAGTTGTCTTTGCAGCGACAGGTGCTTTTCGAAGCTCACCGCGATCAAGGAATCTTCAAGGTCAAGGCTGGCTTGCAACTGGTTACGGCTGGACGTGGAATGCAGATTGTAGGATGTGGTTCTGAGCATTTCTCCGGTGGTGGTCGGGCCGTCCTTAACGCAGCCAAGTTGTTTGCCAGAGGGCATGATATTCCTTTCTTTGTTCTTCGCCCGATGGATGCTGCCGCGCGATCTTTCTGGATTCATAGTGGATTTTCTGAGCTTGTTTCACTTCGTGGCCTTTGGCAACACCGTAACCACCAGAACTGCCGCTGCTATATGAAGCACAGGCAGAACGTCACAGACGCTGTGGCACGGCGCTGTGCAGAGCGCAGCCTGGATGTTTCCGATTTCATATGCCTTTTGCTTCGCAACACATCTCTGCTTGTTGCGCCTCTGATCCTGTGGCTTTAAGCAATCAACCTGGAATCCTCTTTCGAAGCCCCGGGCTCGAAGTGTGCACACAGTACCACTGTTGCCCTGCACTCGTCATGCGCTTGGCGGCTTGCCAGCAAATTTCGCTGCACCTCTGGGTCGCTTCGGATTCTAGACACTTGCTTCTTCAGATATTTCGACATGAGCGCGTGCTTTGCTTAGACGAAGTAGTCCTGAGCGGATGAAAGCATCTGCCCAGCGAGTGCGCAAAAAGCTGGCAACAAGTGCGTGTGCAGGAGGTGGAAGTTGTTCGTGCGCTCTTGCGCAGGGTGACATTCTAAGGCGAGGGTATTTGTATAAAGTTGTTGATGTCAGTGGCTTTTTTCTAAAGCTGATGTTCCGATTCTTGGATGCCTTGGAGATGCTGGATGAACTTTCAAGACTTTCGGCTCAGCAGTCTGGGGCTCAGGGATCAGAGATTCGAAGCCTTGGGGTGTGGATACGGCAGACAACCTCCTTCCCTTCGACATAAGTTTACGTGGCACTGGGAAGAACGATGCCTAGATTCCAAAGCCTTGGGATTTTCTCCATGAATCCTTGAGACAATGGAGAACGGAAACTATTACAGTTCTATTCTCCTTCCCACAAAAGAAAAGCCCATTGAATTTCTGCTTCGCTTTGCATTCGTCATTTCTGGTCAAGCTGCGGTTGCCTTCAAATTAAGTTGCTATAACGTCCCTAAACTTACCCGAGATTTTTGTAAGCAAACAAGCATGCATGATCGTTGACACGGTCTTGACGCAGCATCGCTCCAGTGACTCCAAGTCTATCTCTTGCTGCAACCCAGAAAATGATTGCAGACACTAGCCACGTAGCCACTTCTGGGCCATGTGAAGTAGGAAGTCAGCAGAAAAGTTCCTAGTTTACAGTCATAGCCCAAGGTACGACGGACTCTGTGTGCCCTGTTGCTTGAATGTGATCATCCCTCGTCGTGTCCGCGTGCCAGGCGTCATAATCTGAATTGCTTCAGATCTAGGAAAAACTGAGAATAAGCGGTTTGGCAACTGCAACCTCAGAGTAAGGATCTTACGAACATCATGCCACTTTCATAGGTTCCCCATCAATTATAGAGGTTGGGGCTACCAAAATCCGCACGAATGACAAATGACAGGGTTCGGCTTAGCCAAGTGTTTTTCCATCGATTTTCTATTATCAGGGTCATATCCTTAAACACGAAACCCTGAGCGCTTAACCCTATAGATCCCAGCACCGCGCATCTGAGATCCTTAGGCGCTGTGTTCTGAATGAGCGGTGCGTCAGCCTTCTGTGTCTTTGCAAGGCATATCTTTTGGAGTCTTGCTAAGCAGCATTTGAGAAATCCTGCGTTTGCGTTTGCTCAAGAAGCCTCAAACACAGAGTGCGCCTAAAAAATCTGCAAATTTGATTTGTTGTTATGCTGAGACTTGTGCAAAATGTGCAGCATATGTTGGTTCACTCCACCTTACAATAACTATCCTTAAACCGGTCTTATCCAGGCCATGCAAAAATTCCTGATACTTATCATTATAATCGGTGCTGTAAGCGGGAGTGAGCTAAGACATACCTCAGACCTTTTGCAAGGCGTGCTGCCATTCAAGTACTTCTGTTTTTATATTCCCTACATATATCCCTCTAAACTCTATATTCCCTACATTTAAACTTCCCTAAACCCAACACTCCCCCCCAGACCTAGAATATAATCCGTTATATTTAAGCCCCAAACCCTAAACCCTAAACCCAAAGCATCCCCAAACCCTAAACCCAAAGCATACCTAAACGTGAAACCCTAAACCCCCGGAAAGACCTCCTACTTCGTGGAAGAGCTGGACTTGGCCAAGCGCATTGCGTTGGGCTTCTCAGCCCGTGTGAGGATGGTATATGAGCTATATAGTCTAGACTCCTTAAAGGCGGCTATATAGGGTTTAGCATCTAGGGTTTGGGATTAGGGTTTTAACTTCTTAAAGGGGCTATAGCTCATATAGGTCTTCAGGAGGTTTTGGCGTGTAGCCTGTTTAGGCTCAGGGCTTTAGGGCTTTAAGGTGTTAGGGTTTTAGGGTTGAGGGATTTGGGGTGTTGCATGCGGTTTTCGGGTGTAATCTCCAGCTAACAACCTGTTCACACATAGACCACCGCCTTGATAATAGCCATGTACATTCCCACTTACAATTGAATCTCCCCGTTTAATTCACGTAGGTGATAGCGGAAGGTTAGCTATTAGGAGGGCACATCTTGCAAGGTTTAGTATTGTTGACCTAGAATTCCGGCCCTCTCTTCAAAACATTGCAACTTTACTGCAACCTGAACGTGACCTGGATGCATAGCCGG